AACGCTATGTTATGACACAGTTCACTTTGCGGGCCATGGATTTGCCTTGAAGGACTTCAAATTGGTTGACACTTATATCCCCTTAAAGCATCCATCCAATGTGTGGTTGGGAGTAGGCGTACGCTGAATAGTAGTTAAGCAACATGGACACTGTACATAATTGGGTACAAAAATCGGGCTCACCGCTTTCTAACGTGCGAGTTTGACCAGAATGAGGTGCTATCAAAATATAGGCTGTTGCCTTTCCAAGGAATAAAATCAAATTCGGTAATAAGAAGACCTGCCGTTCATCCAGTACTCTGGACGGCGTCTCCGAGATCGATTGCTTAGCACTTGCAAAGTACAAAAACCAAAATTACGCCTTTTTCTCATAATCGTCTGATAATCACAGTATTGCATATACATACAGACGCTACTTAGGGAATGCAAGTCTTGGGCAGTGCTAAGAACGTGGATTTTCGTGCTTGTTGCGCTTTTATGCCGCTCCTTTAACCGTTGGCAGTGTTGCACGAATCTGAGCATTAAAAGGATGCAGTGCTAATATTGCTCAGTATGTTAGACTAACCTACGTTTTAGTCTAACATCAAATGCGGATAAATTGCGTCGCTGAAATTCCTTGCCTACATTGACTAGTAGTGGTTGTACGAAGTCGAGAGAACTCGCTCGAACTTCGTTGCGATTACTCAGTTACCTGACTGGAGCAACATTTCCGTTATGCTTTTTTAATAGTTTTTTTTTACGCTTCTCTGGCTTGGCGTTTTAATTACCTGTGTTGTGACTGATACAATGTGGATTGGTCACTTTTTCACATGCATCAATCGTTTGCACCAAATCGCAAGTAGACCTTTTCGAGACTTTGCTTAATCGCTTTTGTTTCTAACGCCGTAACAAGTGATCATGGGGTAGAGCTATACCTATCTACATCATGCGGCAGAATTTCTATCCCAATTTCCCATCAAAAGGCTGGACTGGTGCGTTTCTCTCTTTCTCTCAACTCTAGGCTGCCTCTTCTTTCAAGATTAGCCCTTTTCAACTGGTAACTTCTTCGAACGACTGACTGTCTCCAGTATTCTTGTAGCCATCACCATCATCAGGCCGAAATATTTGTGAAGACTCTTTTGTGCTGTCTTTATATGCCCCAGTTCGAACAGCACAATCCAGTCTATCAAGGGATATTTACTTAATTGGTCAACTGTCGTAGATATGTTTCCATAATCTGACATTTGTAGCAATGTAGTGTTTTGAGATTTGGGAGGAACTACTGGAGACCTTTAGTTTTGGGGATGATCCCATTTCATTTGTGCCTTTCTCCTTACAATAATCCAAGTACTACGCTCAATGTTTTCCATAACACAATCTCACTACCCTTCCTATTCTTGTCCTTCCCCCAAACCTTTCAGTTTTTTGTGGATTACTTTGTAATTGTAAGTTCGGCATGGGGAAAACACAATTTTCATGGCTCGAAACGTTTTTTTAAATTCCAAATATGGTAAATGGAAGTCATCGGAGGCAAGGTCCTCCGTTCTGCACACCGGATGAAAGGTAAACTTTTCAATTTCATGTTGCAGGTAACAGTGGGAACAGCCGAAGGTAATGAGCCCGTAACTTTTGGTTTTTTTGCCTGCTCTCCAATTCTGACAAGGGATGATTCATCAATAGTGGATTGACTGGATCTACTTTGACATCACCGCCACATTAGGAACAATCAAGAGACGGGTTGGCTTCAGTTATAGCTGTTTCATCAGAAAACAGTCTTTCTCTGCTAGAACCTTGAAGTTAAATCTTTCAAATTTCTAATTTCTCATTTGCAGCTGTTATGAAGGCGCTCTGTAGTTTGAGCACAACAACCAACGTACTACAACAGCCCAACCTTCTCCCCCAGCAGGCACGCGAAGCGGCCTCTCGTTTGGCTCTCCAGTCCACCCCTCCAGCATCCTCGCTCTCTCTCCTCACCGCCAGCGCCAGTGCCGCCGTTTCCACGTCCCCCACCTCCTCCTCTTCGGCACCGCATTTCTCTTCACCCTCCCTTAGCCTCTGTCAGCCCGTCTCTTCATCCTCACTTCCTACTCCGACTACATTTCTGCCGCATCCCTAGCAGAGCGCTACTTTTGCACCATCTCCCTTCCTACTACCTTGCCTGATGCGCTCCGTCGTCCTGTTTCCCCACCCCTATGCTTCCCTGTACATTTACCCCGCTTTTTTATGAATGATGGTGATACTGATTTCTTGCCACGTAACTTGCCATACCAATGAAATGAACCGAGTCATTTTGTACGTTGTTATTTTTATTTCTTGTTTCCATCTCTCATTAACCCACACATTCACCTACACAACCAACACTTGTTTATTTTAATGCATACCAAACACGTATATTTGAATGGCCTGAGAGGCAGCACTGTGCGTTACTAAATGAGGCTTTCTTTTACCAGCCCTAGCTACTCCGTTGTCTTTCTCGCTTTGTTCCTTTCTTGGAATCAATCCGACCGCAGTAGGGCAATTTTGCTACTAGGACCACATACTTATTCAATTTCTTACCTGAACTTTCTAAAAGGACTAAAGACAATGAAGCCATTTGTCCTCATTTGTAGAACTTTAAGGTATCTGGGTCAAGGTGGTCTGTCTATGTATGGGCGTCTGAGCGACCATCAACTTTAGTTGATGACTTGGAGGCCTCTATCGCAATGGTTTGGAGTGCTCCCTATCCATCAGGCTGTGACTTGTCTACTTGTGGTGGATCCATTTGCACCTCCCATCGTAACAACATGGTGTGTATGCAAGGCGTTTTGCTATCGATGCGTAGTACCCCGGACGGCGTAGATAGAATTCATGTCGCCAATCTGTAGACCAAGCCGAAGTCATCAATACCGCTATATAGGAAATGGTCTGCAAGGGCGCGGATGCTGATCGCCTTGTGTTCAATTTTAAGCAGAGAATAGATGGTCTGCCCAACAGCAAGGCGGCAAATCACAACAATGGCCATCAAATTCATTCTCAGCTGGCTTCATTCCGAGCAACTGGACTAGAAGAAGGAATCCCGTAGGAAAATAACGCTTTTTGTACAAATGACACAATTGAGTTGCACGGCTACGTCCGTGTAAAGGCGTCTCTTAACTTCGCAAAAACCTTAGTACCCATTTCTTCATCCTGGAAAAAAGTTCATAAATGCATTTTGGAGTTATTCAGTGGATAGCCATTAATCGGATTCTCCTCACCTGAAGCGTAAACGTGACCCGCAAAAGGATATCATTCTGCTCGCCATTCTTTGTTGGAGGTGATTCAAAATCAACGAATATCCGCTTGAAGAGAATCAGTCCCACATCATCTGCGTCTATCTTCTCCTTCGGTACAAGTCTAAAAATCGGATGTTTATTGATAAAAAAACCGAAAAGGCGCGACCTACGCAAGACAAAGGCTTGCAGCACGTTTCAAAAGTGCCTCTATCGGCTCTGTTGAAGCAAACGCATGAACAGAAGTAAATAGCATTGCATGCTCCTTCAAACCAACACTAGCCAATGCTGCCTCACGGCTCATTAGAACTCCTCGTGGCTGTAGGTAGAAATATGTAATTACTGGGAATCTATCACGCAGACCTCATCAGTCTTAACGACGATACCAGCCTTGAATGGGGACTGTTTTTCTTTTGGTTTGTGCAAAATGGAATTTTCGCCTATAAAATAAATCAATACCAACGGGAAGGCAACTCGCCAATAGTCTTCTTGAGCAAATCCACTGACGCGACCACTTCACAGTGTGGGCGTGTTGGTACAAGGGCGATTTCTCCATTAGCTGGCATGGAGCACTCCAACCCTGCCTCACTTTCGATGCGACTTTTTAGGAATTCCATCTTGGAGGCTTCCCCATGAACTAGGAGGACATGCCCCGGACGACACTGCGAGATGAGTTGCATGATGCCACGAGCGTCGGCATGGGCAGAAAAGGACAGGTACTCCACACGCATACAAACTTCCAATATCTGCTTATCGAATTCCAGCCTTTTCGCTCCATTCAGAATCTGATGACTTGTCAGACCAAAAGACGACTTACCTTGTACCCAACAGTTCCAGAAACGCAGTAACCGGGAATAATTACCATATTCTTGGGATCTGGAGCCCACTTTCGAAATATGTGAAGGGATTGGCCGGCATGAAGCATACCCGGGGTGGCAAAAACCACCATCGGACCCGGTTGATCCACAACTTCTGGGGTTAGATGCTGAAAATTTTCACGTGTGATGACTGCAAAAAGTATCCTACCTTAACGTGTTTAAAATCAAACATATTTCGTTCTACAAAGGTCTCCTTGATTTTCTGACTTGTCCACGAAATGAATAGCTTGTAAAATTCCGTTGCTTTTTCGGCCATTCCCGTAGAAAAGTAGATAGGAAAGGAGAGATTCATTCGTTCCCAATATGTTTCGAGAAGGATGCAGAGTTCTTGAGCTCTACCAAGAGCAAAGACCGGAATGAGAACTTTCCCGCCAGCATCGAGTCTTGAGTGAACCTTTTCCAAGAATTCGCGCTCCCTTGCACGCTTGGAATCGCGGATGGTAGTAGCATAAGTGGTCTCCGTAATCAATAAATCGGGTCTACATCTTGGAACCCATGCAGCACCCAAATGCCGGTCTGGAGTCATATTGTAGTCACCCTGGAAACAGTGAACAGCCAATTCCCGACTTACCGTGTACAATAAAGACCTATCCCCTACTTTGATGTGGAAAATTGCAGCACCCAGCACGTGGCCTGCGTAGTATGCCTGAATCTCAATATCGTCATCGACCTTTACAGCTTGGTGCAGGTATACGCACTTCACCTTCTTCATGCAGCGGTGGATCATTTCAGCAGTAAAGAAATTTTGCTCACCTCGTCTCTCAACACTGATGCGTCGATAGTCATCCTAAGACGAACGGGTTCACATTAGAAAAAAACTTACCAGTAGAATTGGACAAATGGCCTTAGTAGGATGCGTCATATAAATTGGACCATTGTAACCAACCATTTCTGTCATATAAGGCAAAGCACCGCAATGGTCAAGATGAAAGTGGCTGGGATTCTCGTGAAGTCATCTCGAATTACCTTATAATGACACAGTTGATATATTCAGTCAAGTCGTGCTTTTGTATAATAAAAGAAAAATCAGGGAAACGACGCTTAGGAGATGGAGTAAGCAGTGAATAACACAAACCTCGTCGTTATAGCCCATGTGCATTCCACAATCGAGCATAATATTTTTACCGCCGAGAGAAACTAAAATACAGCTCCGACCTACATCTTGACCAGCACCTTTGCTCCCCATAACATGACATTTCGTCTTACCGAGAGGAATCACTCTTATATCCGCCATGCCTTTCGCCTAGTTCTCCGAAAAGCTGACAGTTCCAACGTCACCAAATGTCGCTTGTGAACACAATTCGAGTGTTCATAAGTTGCGCTATCTTTTCTATATTTCTATTGGTTGTCGAA